CTCAAAATCTTGCTCCTCTCTCTGCTGCAAGTGTTCATTGGCTCCCGGGAAAACAGACTCCCAGGCCAGCCATGGCGGAGGCTTGGGCCACTCACAGAAGCTGAGCAGGCGGCTGGACAGCTGGACCAGCCCACCCGAGCTGGGCCCTGCCCAGGGCCGCACCAACCCATTGCTCTGTGCCCCCTCTTCAATCTGTTATTGGCAGAGGCGCCGATGGGCTCAGCCCTGGCCTGGGGTGGGTCCAGCCTGGAGCCGAGGAAACTTCCAGCAGTTTCTCACAGGGGCTGGATCGGTGGTACTCCTTCCCCCACCCCCCGGCTACTGAACCCTTGGAGCCGGGGGTGGGGGTGAACCCTTGGCAGTCACTGACAGGAGCCACCACTGCAGCCCCTCCCTTGCTGCCAGACAAAACCCGCCCCACAAAACCATAACAATTATCCTTCATGGTGAAGCTTGACAGTGTAAATAGAGAAACAGGGCAAGATCTGTCTCTGGTTGGGATGTTTGCCTGGATATAATATCTACTCTGAGTGGCAATCCACATTCAGAATAAATGGACCAAATCTAATATTAATTATGGTGTAAGTTTTGCATATTATATGAGACAATAATATTTCATTAGTGTTCTGGAAAAGAAACACTGATACAAGCTCTTAAAATATGATTGAAATAAATTACAGAAGCTTGCATCTGAACTGGAACAGCCTCTGGTCTGCCTGCACTTCCTGTAAGGCTGGATTAATGCAATATGGAAAACAATAAAATGATATACATTGATTACACTTGCAGAGTATATTTTTAACATCAAAATAATTTTCCCATCTTTTCTCCATGCTGTATCCAGATCTGTTTTCTAAAATCTGCAGTCAACTCTCATGAAAGCAACATGAGAACAAAGCCAAAACACTGTAAACCTTGGTGGTGCAGTCCTGTCTTAGCAGCCCCCTCCAAACAGCAATGTCATGTGAATTTAGTATTAAAGCACAAATATGCATGAAAGAATTGTAATTTATTGACTACAATCTAAAGCAATGCTATTAAGACTGTTAGAAAGTAACTCTTCCTCAGTAAGTGTTTTTTTTTCTCTAAATTCCTGGTTTCTAGTAAAGGCAGACAAGGCTGTTCAAGGGTAAGGAAAAATCAACACTACGGAGACTCCCATCAGAGGAGGGGGGACTCCCAATAGTGATAGTCAGCCAGAGGCAATCCACAGCACTGCTAGGATAAGAAAGCAGCCTCAGTGACTGCCAAATTGATCCACTAGAACACTCCGGCAGCATTTTCTAGAACCACTGTGCAGATTGAGCAGAGACCATGGACCAGACAGTCACCCGAGCTGCAAAAATACCAATAGCGCCCAAAGAGAGTGACTGTGTGAAGAAATGCTTATTTCTCCAAAATTTTCTTTCAGACAAGAATCATCCTTCTCAACTGGTGTGCTTGGTTTCTGAGGATGAAAAGACCAGGGGAAGATAAAGTACGTCCTGCCTGTCAACATAAACAGCGTCGCTGTAGCTTATCAAGCGTGGAGATGAACACTGTGAGCGGCCAGCAATCCAGTAATGGGAACATGCTATACATTGGGTTTAGGGGGCTGGAAGGGGTTCACTGCACACCTACCACTGATTCAGGGGTGATCTGTGGGAGGATGACCTGCTCACCAACAGATGAAGAAAACCTGCTGCACAGTGGCCACCCCTCTGAAGGTGACCCAGATTTGGCAAAGATCTTGGAAGAGGTCAGGTACATTGCAAACCGATTCAGAGACCAGGATGAAGACGAAGCCATTTGCAATGAGTGGAAGTTTGCAGCCTCTGTAGTGGATCGGCTCTGCTTGATGGCTTTTTCAGTCTTTACGATCATTTGTACAATTGGTATTTTAATGTCAGCACCAAACTTTGTAGAGGCTGTGTCTAAAGATTTTGCTTAACACTCCAATCTGATTCTCTGAAGTATGACATGTAGCAAATAAGAGTGTGTTTTTTGTTTGATCACTTGTTTTTAATGAGTATACTGCTTCTTATTGTCTGCTTTCTTTTGCCCCCCTCTCTGCTCTGGAGTTCCTCTCCGAAGAGTGGCACCCTTTCAGAAGGGAAGCCAAGGATTTCTCCCTGGGCTGCCTGTGCGCAGCTCTGCTGAGCTCTCTTCTCTGGGAGGTGCGAAGTGGCTGCAAGTCCCTTCAGAGTGACAGGGTATTGTGCCACCATCTCCTGCACATTTTTGAACTGGCTATTGCAAAATAAGAGGTAGACATTGCCAGAAATGTCACTTCTTCCAGACTTTGTTATAAAAGATAGAAGGTGGTCCACCTTAACTATTTGAAGGAGTGATCGTAAACACTCATGTTTAGGAGAGGATTAAATCCAAATAGATGGAAGCTCAAACAGCAGAAGGAAAAGGGAGAAATAGGTTGCTCTTCAGTTACTACTTCTTACCAAGTGGTACGTAGCTCTCCAGCTCACTCATAACCAGTCAGATCCATAACTCCCTCCACGTTTTACATAGAGCATATGTGACTTTACAGAATTCCAAACTTGTCTGAGACACCATGAACCATAAAGTTAAGATGATATACCACATAACTTGTCCTTCTATATCTTTCTGGATTTGACCTAGAAGTTTGGCCTGAATTCTTAAACGGGCTTCATAGTAATTTTTGCAATGTTTACTACTTCTTCCTTCTCCCCAGAAAGACATTCTTTCAACTGAAATTTCTTTCAAAAAGAAAATGAAGTATTTATGATGCCTTTATCCTCACTTGTTAAAAAAAAAAATTACACACACTTGTCTCTTTACTGTTAACTGGATTCCAGTGTGGAAAAAGTAATTCAGTATGTTATACAGGCTTAAGCATAAACGAAGATTCTAAAGCAAGAAGAAGCCATTAAATCCTGAGGTCAAAGTTTTAACTTAAAAATTAAATGTTTGCTCTTTTGTATGCTTAGCATTTTGTAGACCTCCTTCTGTTGAGTCACCATAACATGTCTTTACAAGAGAACTGCACCTTTTCTGCTCAGTTTATCATCCGAAGAGCACTAATGAAAAATAAAGCTTTCCTGGGTCTGATATAAACTATGAACTGTATAAATATATATTCACATATACACACTGCATATGCCTCCAGCGAAAGGTTATGACATAAATACAGATTCTCTTAAGTCTAGACAGACTTAATGAAAAGGGCTGAGCTGAGAATACCAGGACCTGAAATTTGTGTGTCCAAAGCAGCTGAGAATCAGTCTCTTGCTGGCACACCAGTATTCCTGACCAGTGATGTAAGTGGCAAAAAAGAAAAAAGATGTGGGGGAGGATTACTTTGCCATTGACTGCTTGCTTTATCCTACAGAATCCTGATTTTTTTGGCTGAGGTCTGCAGAGATGCAAATGTAGGCCTGTTGTACCATGTTTTTACTGTGAAATTAACTCAAGGCCTCAGCTTCTCTCTTAAACGGGATTAAAATAAAGTGACCGAAATGTTTATTCTCCCTAGGTAACAATTTCCTTCTCACAGTCTGCTCCCTCGAAAGCATGAGAATCAGATTTCGTGTAAACTGTGTCCAGAGTCACCACAGGTACCGTCCCTTACCCAAAGTGAACATCTGGCTCAAACGCCTTCCTGCCAGAGAAAAGGGCAGGAGGAGTGAAAGGAGGGCAGCATAATTCTCTCAGTTTGTGAATTCTGTCTTCCTCAGGGTTCACTCAGAATCTCACACTGTAGAGACATGAGCAGAGCATTCAAATCCTTCTTGAAAGCTCATCTTAAAACCATATCTCACAGTTATCTGTGAAGAAGTTATATTTTCAGGAGCCATTATTAAGAATTAAACATCCAATAATTCCTGCAAATAGTTTCTAGTTTATAGATTTCATATGAATAGGAAATTATGAGTCCAAAATCTGAAATGTGAGTTTTGTTCATTTGTGAATAACTACACATATCGTGTGGCATGTGCTGCTCTTCTGAGTAATGCTCCTCGGCTAGGCTTCCTAATGCAAATGCTCATTTGCATCCGTATCTTTTCCTTCTGGAAGTATCCCTAAGTAGCTATGTAGAATGTTCCTTTTAGTCCTTGTAAAGTTTTGGGGTCGTCTTGGAAAATAATTTTTCGAGAAGACCTGAAGACTTTTGGAGACTACCTTGTACAATGGGACACGACTGTTGCGATGATCATACATGATGCATGCAGTGTAAGAAGCATGAGAGTGCCCCTCTTTCCACCAGAATCCATCTGCAGTGGCTGTAGAAATCATCTTGCTAAATACAGAAGTTCTTTACAGAAGGGTGGAGAATGCAATTTACAATTTGACAGTAAACTTCATTATCAATGGCAGACATGCCTACGCTTAAAAAACTGGAGGCTGGTATTTGGCCTTTGGTGAGGTCCTGCCAAAGTCTGTAACACTGGCTTGGTCATACTGTCAAAGTTTGTGACGCTGGCAGTGAATGCCAGCTGTTAGACAAAGTAGCTGCAAGACACCAGCACCATGCCCACAGCACTGCCTTTATTGTTGGCAGGATTAATGAAAATGCACCAAGCGGACAAGCGAATCCTGATTTTCCTACTGTTAGCACAACCTGTAAGCATTTAGTAATAAGATTATTATAAATTTTAAATACGAGTGACAACTTCTCTGTTATGTTATTTTGCATTGATAAATTAAATTTTCCTGTAACTGAGCTGAGCAAAATTGGTAAGTTTCTTGTCAACCTGTGTGAGTCTTAAATATGTTTGTGTATGCAGTAAACAATATTTTGATCTAAATGCTGGGAAAAATATTTATTTACAATTCCGGGCATAGAAATGGAAATGGGATACTGCATGCAGTATGCATATATAATATTAAACACTATATATTGATGGTAAGGATCTGTTACAATCTTAATAGTTCAGAGAGAGGATAAGCAGATGGTTCACCCCCCAACTAAGCTGTGACTTGTCTGACAAATTCAAAAGCTCACTCTAGAGCTCAGCTGTCATGTACAATACTATATGTGAACAATGTATATTGCTTTTTCTCATTTTATATTGAATTGTATTGAATATTTAAAAGACTTTTTAATATTTTAAAAATATATTTAAGTGTTAATGCCAAAAAAGTTCCAAACAAGATTTTAAAAAGTTAGTTTTAAATACAGATAAATTATTTAAACAGTATTTAAAATATTAAATTATTTTATATAGGAATTGATAATACTATGTAAGACTTTTTTTTAAAGGTTTCTTTAAATTCTCTTTACATTCTCTCTATCTGCAGGATGTAATCTCCGTTCACCTGTGACAATTCAACTTTTCACATTCTTTAACAAGAAAAGAAAGTAAACCAAAGTCCCGCATTTTCTTTCCTTTTGTTATACTATTTTTTTACATTAAGAAACATTGCATAAAGGGCATTAGAAAGAGATGTTACATCTGTCAGGTACTGATTGTCATATAAGCAATTCAATACCTTCTCAGTCCAGCACAAATAAAAGATTTAGATCAAGAGACTTTTGATTCTTTCTCATTTTGCTACAATGGAAATAAACTCAAGTGGTAGAAAACATGCATAGCCATAAAAGAAACAAAAATGTCTTCGGAAATATCAATCTGGGGATGGCAGAGGTCTTTGATAATTAAAAATACATTCATATCCTCCTAGCAAACCAGTCCCACACCAAACATGTATTACTACAGTCTCACATAAACGATCAAAGTTAACCAAGTAGGACTGAAATGCCATCTGTTTTGGACTAGCCTCAATGCCAGTAGTAATTTAGTTCTTGAAATAGAAGAGAGAAACAACTGAGAAAACACAAATCTATGCCAGCTGAATAAACTTGGTTTTGCCAGCTGCAAATTTTCATTGTTGGCTACTGGTGAAAAAATATCTAATCAGCAGAATACCCCCTAGATGGGGAAAACATATCAGTGGAGTTTTTTGCAGACAGATTAGTTGTACTGCCCATATGCTGAAACAGCTTCCAAAAAGCTTTCTATCTCTACAGCATCCCACTGAGCATGTGCCATTAGTAAAAATCAAGGGTTGCTGAACCCAAGACATTCTCTTATTGCTTCCACAAGCTTGTAAGGACCAGCTGAAGACGACCAGTTTAGTCAAAGTCAACACACCAAGTCATAGAAGCATATAGTTGGCACTGAATCCAACCTGTCTTTGGGTGAGAGCTGCCATGGTTCCCAATGTCAGATATTCAGGCGAGGCTCATGCTGATGGCTGCTCGCTCTTCCAAGCCAACATGCCTGCCCTCTCTTCTAGGGCGCTGAGAAGCAGAACTTACCGTCTCAGACTTACTGTTACACTTCCACATGGTCAGACAAGTTGTTTGACCAAGTTGTTGCTTGGCACACAGCAAGCAGTGTCCTGGCACTGCGTATCAACCTACCATCACACGTATGCCGTCTCTGAAGCATTTGTGAACCGGGATGAAAATCGGACTGCTGTCTGCTATCATGGTCAGGCATCTGGTTGGTTAATACGCAGACTGAAAGCTGCCATCCTGTAGGAATTTGTACATGAGCAGATCCAATGTCATTGCCCTGTAGGTGGCAGTGTCCATCAGAGCTCTGGGTCTTCAGCCATCCAATTTTAATCCTGTAAAAACAATCAGAATGTATTTTCTCTTCAACAAAACTGATTTCTTAGCCTAACTTCATGATATTAAAATATCAGTAAATCTTAAAGCCTGTGAAGAGAATCTGTGTGTCACAGCAAGTCTAACCTGGTAATCAAACAGGATCTTAACAGGACTACAACCAGAAATGAAAGCCTTTCACTATTATCTTTTTTTCTACATTGCTTCTGCTGCTTAAAAGAAAACCTTAATGTTTATGTAACATTTATTTGTGCTATTAAGTAATTTGCAGATGATGGCATAGAGAGAAAATAAACAACAATCTCTCACACTCCAATGACCACATTCAAAACTGCAATTTATTAACAGAGCATGAAAGTATTCA